GGAACGTAGGAGCTCCGAAGTGAGAGCCGGTATCCTCCCAGCCTAGCCACGGATTCAGTAAACAAGCATAGGATTAGTCAATGTTCTTTATGCCTGGACCAAAGGGTAAAGAATAGGATTGCTCTTATTTGGCACGTACAATATTTAATGCATCTCATTCCTTTACATTATCCAATTCATTACATAAGAATAGTAGTTTTTGATATCTCAAAATTCTCTAAACTTATCTTTAGAGTTAATATTTGCATTTAGTTATAGTTACTATCTTTACATTTAACACTTGCATTTAGGAGTAGTTGCTAGATAAAACATCATTTTAATCGACATTCCAAACTAAGGACTAATTGTAGTAGACTAGAATTTGACTAAGGACCTCTTGCCTCGCTTCCCTGTGGGATCGATAAACGGGACTTCACTAGAGCCCTGTATTACTTGAGCGATACGTATACTTGCGTTTGAAATTGTGACTTTACAAAATCATTATAAATATATAAATCTGGGTTCATAAATTTTTACATATTAAAAGTTGCATCAAATTTTTGGCGCCATTGTCGGGGATTTAAATCTTCTAGCAGCGGTATCAAATTTTTATATTTTTAAGCATATATAAAGTCGCTGTCAGTAAGCTATTGTTCAAAGACAAAATCATTATCCTCCAGGTTGATAAAACTTTCTATGTTGTTGTTTTGTGGCCCTTATTGCTTACTTTTTGGATCTCGGGATGTTGAATTCAAAATTATCCTGGATAACCCTAGAACTTTATTAGCAATTACATGAGAAGAAATTTGAAAATAAAAGAGAGAGAGAGAGAGGGTGAGAGTGATAGAGAGAGAAGTTTTAGATTGAGAAGCTTTGATATTTCGTTATAATAGTTTCACTAACAAAAATTATTTAAATTGGGCTATTCTTACTTCTCTAATTTATATTTTTTTATTACGGTGCAAATGTTATATAAAAAGCTACAAATTGAGTTACATGAATAGGAAAAATATATATTATGATATATTGATTGTTTGTTATAAAATATATGAGCCGTGTAGCCTTATTTTACTAGAATTGAATACTCAACCTTATTTTGCTAGGATTGTGAGTTAAATTAAATTATCATTAAAGTGTTGGTAGCTGTTAGGGCTATCAAGCAGCTGTTATGTCATCAAATCAAAACATAAGGAACCCTATAAATGTAATAAATATCAAATTACATGATAATAGGATAACAAGAAATTTATAGGTCCAATGATTACACAAAATTTTCATAGAATATAAACAATGAAGTTTCTGAAAGTGAGATTCTGTACAAAAGTTTACAAATGATCCAAACTTGAGTATTTATTGCAACTCGTTCAATGTATATTATAAGAATTTCAAGAATCAATCAAATATATAAGTTAAATTTTGATATATGATTGACATTTAAAAATGTCAACTAATTAATAGGATGTATTGGCTAAATATTTCACAAAGTTTTGAAATTAAAGAGAATATTGAAATTTCTCGCACTTAAAAAAAACTTGTAATGGTTGATGGAAGAAATCAAACTATTGGGTAAACTAATAACAGGGCATTTACATACCACCTAGTCGATCGACAGAACTTCTAAACCTTTTGTAGTCGAAGGAGAAGCTTTTTTTGCGGTGTTGTCGAAGGTCGAAGTAGGTAAAAGCGTCTCCTGCAGTGTTGTTGAAGGTTGTAGCATCTCCTCCGGTCGATCAGTCGAAGCTTCTCCTAAGATTGAAGGTAGAAGCGTATAGTGCAGCGTGGTTGAAGGTTTAATTGTCTCCTATGGTGCGGTCAATCGGTCAAAGGTTGAAGTTTCTCTTATGGTTGAAGTGTCCAACTCCTACGACCGAAGCTTCTGCAGCCTACAGTAGAAAGCTTCCTACAATTGACGATGAAGGAAGTATCAAGCATTCAAATAGAAGCATGCTTCGAACTCTTGGCTTGAAATCAAAATTGAAGTCAAAATAAAAAAAAAGATGCTCTCCTTTGAACTCTCGAACACCAAAAGGATTTCTGCTCCTTGTGGCTCCTTTGAACATTAGATCGAAAATTAGATTTTATTTCTTCTCTTTCTCGCTCGTGAATCAGACCACCGAATCACTCGCTTCAACTCTTCAAGTGATCTTTCTATGCGAAGGGTGTGCTTCGCTAATCGGTACCGTATGATAGCGAAGCGAAGTGGGGACATTTGCTTTGCTTTGCGCCTCATGGAAAGCGTACTTCGAAACACACTTTGAACAGCACTGGATAAAATATTTCAGAGTGAAATAGTTTTTTTATAGAGCAATGGAAAGCATAGCACTTTCATGAAAAACTAGTAAAATGCATGTTTATTTGGTTTGAGAGTGTATGATAAAAGGTAGAAGTTCCTTGAAATGGAAGGTGATATTTTAAATATAAAAGATTGTGAAGGAAAATTTATAGATTCTAGTTGTTATAGGTAATGTGACTAGAAGTTACGCAAAAATATTCTCATAAACTATAATTTTTTTATTGTCAAAAAAATAGTTGGGATGTCTTATGCTGGTGATAATAATAATTTCCACTTCTAATTTTTTATAAATTCAACAACAAATTTCTTTCAGTTTTTAATTTTCTAGTGGTCTTGTCAGGCTAAGGTGTTTAACTCAAGTTTCCATTGTTTTCAGATCTTCTTCACGTGTTCTCTTTCCTTCCGAAGGATCTCAATTTTGTGCAACATAGCAGCTATGTTGGTTGGAGAGAGTTAAGTGAGGCTTTTTTTAATTTCCCTTTTTCTGTCTCTTTTGTGGATATATTGTTTATGTTATTAATTGTATTTGTGTGACAGGTCTCGTATGTTAAAACATGTAATTGTTGATCCTGGTCTTTATCTATCTTCCAAGGCTGATGTATTTTATGCCACACAAAAGCGTGATGTGCCAAATGCCTACAGGATATTCACAGGTTACTTGCAAATACTAAGCATTTTAATGTTGTTCTTAAATCATTACTTAACGTTTTAAACTTCTGTTGGATCGCCAGATTAAGAACTACTGATTTTTTTCTTAAGAAATCTGATTCTTGATCAATAAAATGTATTGCGTATAGATAAAGCTAATTATTCTGGTTTTGCCATGCATTACCTTTGTGTGGCGTGGGGTTGGGGAGGCATGGGGATATTGGTACCAATTGACCATTTTCTCAAGAATCTTGAACTTAGCTAACAATGTTTATGAGTGGTTTGCATACACTACTGGGGAAAGAGCATGCATGTTGATTATGTGTATTGGATTAATGCTGGATATCTTATCTATTTAATTAGTATTTGTGATGGACGGTCAAATTGGACTTCATGGGAAAAACCAACATTAACTTTGATATATGAATAAACCTACATGAATAAACCAGTATTAAGTAAAGAAACAATATTTGTGTTATTATTTTTTGTCATTTGTATTTATCCAAATGTTAGTTGATAAAAATGTTACCGTTTGCTGTGTATCTTATGATGAATGTGCTGCAAAAATTAGGGACAATGTTAGTTGATAAAAATGTTACCGTTTGCTGTGTTGGTAAAATCAATAATCTTATGATGAATGTGCTGCAAAAATTAGGGAGGATGGATAAATGATAATATTTATGAGATTGTATGGGTAGCATTTAACAAAGATAAGGTAGTGAAAAATATATATTCATGGCTTGAGCATGTGCAATGGAGAGTGAAGCATAGGGCAGGTCAAATCAACATAGATGTAATTGACACAAAAAGTTTGATATAAAGTGATGTCACCATAATATGCACAACATAAATGAGTGAAGCATATAGCTAAATAAAAATAGTTGAAATGTGGATAAATTTGATTTATTTATAGATTTTTATTTATATTTATTTCTTCTTGAGTATGCAAATATTTGTATATATTTGTTGTTTAGTAAACTCAAAAAATAAAAACCTTTATAAATTGAGCGTTTTCACATGAAGCATGGACTTAGCTGTGGAAGTTTATTAGTGATTGCTGGCACTAAGGTGGGACAAGCATGCAAGATGATCAGATCTATTAGTGTAGGTTTGGAAGTCCCGTTTATTCGATTAATAGTTATGATTGAGACCAAAAATAAATAAATAAATAAATAAAACATAATGTATGGTAAATGAATAGACCTAACATATATAAACAACACTATTTGCATTATTTTTTGCCATATGTAGGGATCCAAGTGTTAAAGAAGTTATGTTCTGTTGAGTGTGGTAAAACCTAGAATTTTATGATTAACGTGTTGCAAATTTAGGAAGGATAGATAAATGCTAATATTTAGTTAGACTTTGAGTATAATATTTGTCAAAGATAAGGTAGTGAAAAATATATATTTGTGGTGTGGACATGTACGATGGAGCATGGAAGAGGTATCAATAAAACTTATAATTAAGTATGACTAGTTAAAATAACATAGAAGTCATGAAAACGATTGGTGTATAAAAGATTTCATATCGAATAACTATTAACATGAGCACACCATAAAATAAACCAGCAACAGTTGGAATAATAAGCATAATACTGATGATGATTCATTTATATATATATATATATATATATATATATATCATTGGTTGCGGCCTTTGGTATAAGTTCCTCGGGTCAGGGGTTCGATCCCTGCGTAAAATTGAATTGCACACCTCCACCCCTCTGTCAGACTATGGGGTTGATCGGCGATTAACCTTTTTATATAACACACACACACAGACACACACACACATATATATAAGGTGGATGACACACACAACATGTGCCTGTCCACCCCTTATCTGCTAATTCGAGTCAGATGGATTCGAACCCAGGACAAAGAGGACTTACGCCGAAGCTGCCATCCAACAAGTCACCAGTTACACGAATCTAGAGAGCCTTATATATATGTATATATATATATATATATATATATATATATAGAGAGAGAGAGA